GATCCATTAATGACGTAATAGATGGCGTGTAGGCGGTCCTTTGATGTTTTGAMATCATGTGTTCCCTATGTTGTGGATCAGTTTGCTTTGAGCAGTTAACCAGCTGACAGCAGGGATGAGAAACAATCGTTTTTCAWCATTAGCAAGAAACAGATTTATTTTTAGTCAGAGATTATGTTTGGAATTTTGAGTCAACAAGGTAAATCTGTTTCAATATTTAGAATGTCATCCATCCATCCATCCATCCATTTTCTTCCACCTATCCGGGGTCGGGTCGCGGGGGCAGCAGTGGAGGCCCAGACCTCCCATTCCCCAGCCACTTCTTCCAGCTCCTCCGGGGGAACTCCAAGGTGTTCCCAGGCCAGCCGAGAGACATAGTCCCTCCAGCGTGTCCTGAGTTGTCCACTCTGACACCTCCCTTCCARCATATATAACATATATTTCTATTGTGTCTTCCTCTGTTTACAGAAAGATTGTAAATGAACTAAACGCCACATTTCATACAAAAACAGATGAGAATTCTTCACTTGGCGAAGCTGATCTGAAGTACAAAACACAGCTTAAGAGTCTCAGGGCAAAAGGGATTCAACACGTGCTAAAAGCCAGAACACAGACGCTGAAGAAAAAGATGAATATCTGATTCCAGAGGCACATCACAGAAACAAGAAACATACAAAGAAAAGAAAGAAGACTGTTCATTTATATGTGAATTCAACTGAAAGCAAGACTCAGACTCAGTCGTGATTCCAACATCACATCTCAGACAGAGCATAAGAGCAAATAAAACAACAGATTTTGTTTATTCGCTTATGAATTTGATTAAAAGTGATCAAAGTTAGTCAACCTCGTATATACTCCAACCAGAACCTCAAGAGAAACTGTCATGGCTGGGCTCCCTCTCATATGAGGTGCACAAAGAAATGTGACTCAAAAGCATTWATCTTATTTTAATTGGACAATCTAAATTTATGGGTTTTCTCCGTGTACTTCGGTTTCATCCCACTGTAAAAAATCAATAAATAAATGAATTGGTAAAAATGAATTGAGTCTGTCAACTAGATTGCCTGTAGTGATTTTAAGGTCCAGCAGGTGTCAGTATTCAGTGACACAGTATCGACACGTATCAATAGTTTGGTAAYGTGTCGAAACAACACGTGGTGCCTCATCGACGACCCATCACTAGTAATAATGACATTTTTGAAAGTGTGTGAATCATTTTGAAACAAAAAACACAACAAAAGAAGAACGTATCTCRTTCTTACAATTTATTCACTGGGTTATTTGTTTCTGTTAAAAATAAATCACCTACTGTGAGATAAAAAATACACATCTGAGCAGATAACATTGTTACATTGAACATCCCCAAATAAAGCAATATTTAAAGACAAAAACAGTATGTGTTATGAAGGGTGGTCAAGTCTATACTCTGAAAAATAAACGTTTAATCTTAAAAATTAAAAACATGATCAATGCTGACCTTCRAAAGTACAAACTCGGTCAGCAGATGTGAAATTGTGTCTCTGTCTTTATAGTTTTCTTGAACTCATCACAGTAATAAGACTTGTGATCAGTTGTGAAATTGCAGAATTTTTATATTTTTTTGACTCAGATACAATTTTTTTTCTTTTTTCAGAACAAAATCTGATATCTACATGAAAGGCAAAAATGAAAGACATTTATTTAAGCAGCAAAAAAAGGCAGGATGAAGAAAGTTCAACAAAATATAAAACTTCCAGAACTCATTTTTATCCCACATGGTGAAATCTAAACACTGACCCCGTTTCCAGCTTTAAGCTCTGGTTAAAGTGCTTCCCTCTCTGCAGCTGCGGGGGCTGATGTGACCGCAGGTTTAAAGTCTGCCGCAGGAGCTYAATCTCTGCTGCTGGGGTGATGAGGCGCCGGGGCTCCTTCCATCGGCGCCGAGCTGGGGACCGAGAGCAGCTGGCCGCCGTGCATCCGCTCGTTGACGCGCAGCTGGCAGCCATCCTGCAGCATGCGCATCGCGATCCTGGCGATGTTGCGGGAGTCGTCCAGGCCGCAGTGGGGGCGGCCCTCGTACTTCATCCCCAGCTTCTCCAGCATGGTGCTCAGCTTGGTCTGCGTGCGGGGCACCTGGAGGAAACGCCACATGCTTTGATAAAGACGGCAACCCCCCAAAATATGCAGGGAAAACAGAATATTATAAAGAAAAGGTGTTTTAGATCACAAGAAATATAGAAAGAGCTGCTTTTAAAAAGGAGTCYGAACTGTTAGTCCAGACGCCTGCTTTCTGCAGGTGGTCAGGATTCACAAATCTGTACTAATATTTATTCACAAAGTTGTAAATTTTCAGATAATCCCCATCATATCTGCATAATCACCTCTTCRTCAGCTGGATTATAAACAGCTGGGAGGTTTTAATGCAACTACTACTGCCTCCTGCTGGTGGGAGGCTGTTATTTTATTTCTGGAACTCAAAAAGCAGAACTAAGATTTATTTAAACACGTTAAAGTGAATTAAAATTATTGCTAAAGTCATTGAGTGTGTGTTTGCTGTAGCTTTAGTGCAAATTTACTAAAAACACGAGTTTATTTTTAATGGAACAAAACTAATGTGTTTAAATAAATAATCTGATTCAAATCAGGGATATTTTTGTGATCTKTTCGGGTAAATAAAACTAGGAACTAGAAGGTTTAATGTTTCTGAGGCAGGATCTTTCTAAAGGAACTAGCTTATGACAATATTTTACCACYGTTCTCACTGCAGAATTAGAGAGACCTTTATTGTCATCGTAAAGAGAGCACAATGAAATTACATATTTTTGTCTATGTTTCACAACTAATTAAAGAGTAAAACTAATTTACATGTTACTTTCCATTTGTTGTTCTTAAAAACGTATAGTTTTCCATGGAAATCCTAAATATTCATGACAACAAAAGACAATTTATTTAAAACAAATAAGTATTATTTCTGTTAGGAAGACATTTTTTTTGTTTTTCTGGTTAATTAAGGTGTTTTCARCCAATTGTTTTGTTAAATTAAACCTCTGTTTGCCTTTCAAAACTCTTAAATAGTTGTGTTTTTTGTATTTTTTTGAATGCATTGAACATTTTTACTTTGATAGTTGGTATAAACAGCAGGTCACATCTCATAAAATGAATAAGAAAAAAACAGCACTACAAGAGTACATAGTTCAATGTAAAACTATGAACTTTTAGTAAAYGTCCTACCTTGTAGAAGTTGCAGTAGGACTTTCTTATGTTAATCCACTTCTTTGCAAACTGAGGATATTTGATCCGGCTGAGGCGACACTGGATGTTGAGGAACTTGCTCATGTCCCACGCCCTGCAGAGCACAACAAAAACTTGTTTTTATAAAACTGAGACAACAAATCCTGCAGTAGAAGTGAGGTTAAAAAAAACATACCCATCGGTCAGAATGGCATATTTGTACTTTGTTCCCAGCTCCCTCTCCTGCAGCCAGCCCACAACTCGCCGCAGGACTCCTGGAAACGAATCGGCTTCATCCACCGTTTCCTGCAAAAATAAAACTTATTTCTGTCGAGCTGCAACTTCTGAACCGGGCAGAGAWATCAAACAGAGCGGCTGATTTTATCCAACCTGTGTGATTCCTGTCAACTTGACGCAGAAGTCTGAGAGCTGCGGGTTCAGCTCTGGTTTCACGTACTCCTGAAAGGTGTCCACCTGTCCAGGAAACACATTCGAGACTGTCAAAATGCTTCAGTTTAATGAACGAAACGATTCAAACTGAAGCTGAACTCACGATCTGTAAGGTGTGCGTGTTGATGAGGACCATGGGGAACTCGATGATCTCGTGGAGGAAGTCGGAGGGATTATCCTCCTCGCAGGTCGCCTCGAAGTCCACCACACAGATGTAGTCGTAGTAGGTGTCAGTGGGCCCCCCCTCCGCTGCAGACTGCAGCAGCTTCTGCTTCTTGTAGTGGTTCTTTAACCTCTTCTTCATCACATCCTTCACTCCTCTGAAAAACAAGAACAAACATAGATTACAAAGCGTGACAGTAAAACTAAATGTGTAATCATTTACTAGTCCGAAACTGACCTGGTGTCAAGTTTCAGGTCGGCTAACTTGATCCGCAGCTCCTCCTTGGACATGCGGTTGATGTGTCCGTTGGCTAAGGCGATCTCTTTGTAAACCGGATGACTGAAGTCTCTGTCTGACTGGGACTGGGACGTCTGAGGCGCTGTTTCTTCGTCGGGGCAAATTCGGCTGCAGGACTTTGCCTGGAGAGGAAATTCAGAGGGGATGTCAAACTACAACTGAAACATTAGCATCTGACTTCCTGTGACAAGAACACATATATTTTTATTCGTAAACTTCCCAAGCATGCAGGCATTTCTCTTTAGAAGCTCATTTTAATCAATCTCTGCACAAATCTAAGGCAATTTTTCCCACACATTTTGGTGCTGGAAACTAGCCTTTCTTTCTACATCCAGTTGTYTGAATACAGTTCAGTGTAATCAGATATGGTTCGGCAGGTGTTTTGCAGTTTGTACATCCTGAAGTTAAATCCAGTGGAGGAGCTTCTGTGTTCATCTTCAGGGGGTTTCCAGATGTTCCATCAAAGCCACCAAACACAAAAACTGGGTGTTTTATGTAACTCTTTCACCGCCTTGAATAAGCTTTTAAATCCCACCATAAGTTTTGTTTTTAATCCTCAAGGATCTTCTTTCTGACAGCCTTACAGGAACCTAGCAGAAGTTCAAAAACTACGTAAGTAGTTCTGAAACCTTTCATTAGGTGGATTTAAAGATCATTTGAAGGGGTTTGCTTTTCATAAGCTGTAAACTTCATATTAACCCTAGCAATTTAGTAGCAGATTAAGGCAAAAATTTTCCTTCTGTAACTAAATAATATTCGGTTTACACTATTAGCCCAGACGTTGAATGAAGATATTTTAAACACAAAACTGAATAAATTTAAAGCATTTAAGTACATAAATCTGCTCACACCAACCTTTTCATCATCTTGTGCTTCTGTCATCTTCACATTCACGTCCTTGCCATGAATATTTTCCTTGTGTTCGTCCATTTAACACCAAGGTTTTCCAGAAACTGGTTAGCGATTTTAAAACCAACCAGACTCCATGTAAAAAAACACGCAAATTTTACTCTTCGTTGTTTACTGACATTAGCTAACAATACCGCCTCGCTTATGTTTAAGGATAAATATGACTGCTGTTCGCTGTGAGTAAGGTCAGAAATAAATATTTAATAAACTATCAATACATTGATTTAGCAATAAGCTAAAAAGATGACAAAAAAGCTCCACCACACGATGTTAAACTTTGTTTTAGAAAACTGTAGACGACTTCCGGTTTGCGCCAAAAGGTTTATGGGTGCTCTCTGGCGCCCCCTGGTGCTGCGGATGAATAAACGTCCTTCACCCACAAACCCCTGTTCAAAACACAAACGTACGACGTCGTAATAATCAAATAATGAGGAACATTAAAATGTATWAATATTACATTTAAACTTATGATAGAAATATTATTTTCTGCTTAGACTGATGTGCTTACATTAATAATCAATGCAAACTATTTATATAYATTTTTATAACTACTCGAATTAGTCTAAAAGCTTGCTATTTTGTTCTAAGTTACAAGGGCACTTTTAATATAATACAATAAAATAAATTGTTTGCTTTAGGAAGGATCATAATTTGAGTAATTTAAATTGAATTTGTTTAGTTTTTGTTTTTTGTGTATGTAGGAAACTTCTCATCTAATAAAATCCATTTTTGAAACATGTTTATAATTTACAGGTAGTAATGAGCTTTTATATTAGTAATTATGCTGTAATAAATTAAATTTAGCTAGTCATTAGGTTGAATTTAAAGTCTTATGTTATTAAAAAAACAGTTAGTACATTTTTGAGTATAGTGAGTGTTTGAAATAATTTAAATACTTTACTTTCCTATTATCAAAAAAATGTCAGGGAAACTGGAGATCTCACATTTGACCACTAGATGTCACTTTTGCCCACGTTTTGAACAAATCCACACTGCGCATGCGCACACGTTCCTGCATGCTTCAGAGTTTTCTAGCATAGATGCCTAAATAATTTAATGTAATTATTTTATAATGTACAAAATAAAATATTTTCTCAATCACAGCAATGAGCTTCTCAGATGTTAAGTGAATTTTTTTTTTAATTTAAACCTCTTTGATTTTTCAGCTGCTTACAGATCACTKCTGCCCTGCTGGGAGATGGTCTCTATAATTTATGAGACAGGGAGGAATAAAAAGACAACATCTTAGAAAAACAAAGGTTTATTTTCTTCCTTGAAAAAGAAAACCATTATGGAAAGCTCATAGCTCTCATCTAAAGCACATAAAGTGAAAGCATTTTTTTCCTGACAAAAGTAGTGTTTATGCCAATTTAAAAAAAACACAAACTGATGCTTAGAAATAAAGTAAATCTCCTTATTTGCCTTTTTTAAGCAGGAGAAAAGGAGCTGCATTGAAAAGGCATCGGCCCCATTTCACCCCCTTCAATCATCTTGATTCAGGGTTTGGGAGATCGGAGCTACATTGTTCAGTTCCCTCCATCTAGTCTGGGATGCTGCATTCAGGTCGTGTGGGAAAAAAAACAGTTTCTATGATACTACCAGATGAGGGTAAGTTTTGCTTTTTCAAACATTTCATAACTAAAACAAACAATAATAATAAAAAAGTTCAACTTTCAAGTCATTATAGAGTTCTGAGAGTTAAAAACTTWAAAAGATCAACAGCAGATTGTATTTTAAACATTTAAAACTATAAAATGAGACTTTTTCACTCACTATTCCCACAAGACTTGAACGCAGCACGGCAGCAAAGGCCTCACATGAAAAATTGCTCAGGTCGCCTCGTAAAAAAAGGCCTGACGAGTCAAACCTGGTCTCATTTAGAGTTTTTTTTCTAAACTCAGCACCGAGTATCCTCCCTCACAGTTCACACCTTTTTATGTTCATCTGAAAACCACGTTGTTCTGCTTAAATAACACAAACACACTGGTTCGCGTACACTAAAAACTAAAAATAAGTTAAGACGACGAGGCAGTTCTGAAGCTTTCCTGGAATTAGAACATTTTGGGAAACAGTCACTTTATTATAATTTTATTTATTTATTTATTTGCTTATTTAATATGAACCGGGTAGAGTTCAGCTGAAGACTGGAAGCAGGAGGGGAAAAGGTTGATTTTATCTTGAAGAGATAAAGATCTGCTGATCAGCACCTCACAGGCTCATAAAAGGTTGTAAAAAAGGTCATTAACCTGTAAAACACAAGCATAAAAACTGACAGTGTGGGCTTATGGTGCCTGTTTGTTATCTCTTCTTCCCAGGAAGTAGCTTCTCATGAGAAATTATGCAAAACTACAAAGTTCATTCTACCATCAGTTTGTTCTGAGATGTTTCTAGAGRGGAAAAACGAAAGTTACAACTGTAACTACGGTTCTATGAATCCCTACTGACCGCCAGAGGCGGTGCTTCAAGCTCTGAATGATCATTCTTGTGCAGGTCGAGAATTAATACCAACAAAGTCACCTGTGACCTGCCGGTGACCCACGTGACTCTTTAAAGTCACGTGACAGCYGGCGCTCAATCCCTCAACCTTCTCGCGTTACAAGGAATCCGAGGGACCGAGCGCTCTGGCGGACATCCCAGATTCATAGAACCGTAGTTACAGTTGTAACTTTCGTTCCATTTCATCCCTGCTGACCGCTAGAGGCGGTGCTTCAAGCACTGGATGACTTGTCAACAAAGTCATGAGGAATCTGCAAAACCCACAACACYACTTACCTCACTGGGATACAGGAGGAAGCTGCTGCAGAACATTTTGCAGGAGATGGGGCACCACCATATTCACTCTGTAGAACCGAGCAAGGGTGCTTGGTGATGTCCAGGAGGCCGCACTGCATATGATGTCCAGCGGCCCTCCAGTCATGGAGCCCATGAGGTCGTCAGGCCCCTTGTAGAATGACACTTCACACCAACCGGAAGTGATTGACCCATCGAGGTGTAAGCCTTATTAATTAGCCCCACGACCCAGTGCGAGAGTCGCTGCTTAGAAAGGGCCTGCCCTTTCCGAGGGTCTGCATAACAGACAAAAAGGTTATTTGTCTTTCGGAAAGGTGCTGTGGATCTGACATACGCCACCAGAGCACGAACGAGGCACAGAGGCTCCGAGGGGGTCCCAGAGTTAAAACGGGCGAGCTGAAGCGGCTGTGTACCGCCTGTCGCTGATGCCACCTTAGGGACAAAAGAGACATCAGGCCACAGTGTCACACCTGAGCCGTCAGAGCTCCACCGACAGCGTGGCTCGGCTACAGATAGAGCCTGCAATTCGCCCAAGCGTTTTGCAGAAGCCATAGCCAAGAGGAAGGCTGTCTTTAATGAAAGCCATTTGAGGTCCACCGCCATTAGAGGTTCAAATGGGGGYGACCTGAGGGCCTCAAGCACCAATGAAAGGTCCCAAGCTGGTGCCACRGRCYGGCTTGGTGGATGCAGGCGCCTAATGTCTTTGTCCCRGCCCACTGAACAGCCATTAAACCCCACATGCCAACAGGATATAGCAGCCACATATACTTTTAAGGTAGACAGAGAGCATCCCTTGTTTAGTAATTCTTGCAGGAAGGTCAGTATGTCAGAAACTGAACACCGTACCGGGTCCTGCTCTTTATTGTGGCACCAACTTTTAAAGATCTCCCACCTGTTAGCATAGATAGTGCGGGTGGACAGTGCCCATGCATTAGCCATCGTTTCCCCTACTTCTCCAGCATATTTTGTGAAAGTGGCTTTGTAAGGGCCATACCCATAGCTGGAGCTGATCTGGGTCGGGGTGGAGAATCCGGCCCCCCAGCWGCGAGAGTAGATCCTTCCTGGAGGGGAGGCGCATCGGCAAGCTGGAGCAAAGCCTGTACAGCAGAGGAAACCAAGWCCTCGCTGGCCAAAAGGGGGCCACCAAGAGAACATGGTGGCCCTACCGAAGAACCCTCTGAAGAGTTGGAAACATTAGACTGACCAGGGGAAGGCATAAAGAAGTGTCTGGGGCCAGCTGTGCGCTAGCGCATCGCACCCCAAAGGGCTGGTTTCTTCCGCTAGGGAGAACCAAAGTGGGCAGTGAACTGCTTCCTTGGAGGCAAAGAGGTCCACCTCTGCCCTGCCAAAGACTCTCCAGATGTGGTTCACCACCTCTGGGTGAAGCTTCCATTCCCCCGGCAGAAGCCTCTGATGTGACAGAAAATCTGCCGTCATGTTCTGTGGTCCCGGGATGTAGGCTGCCCTGAGGCTGGCAAGGTGCAGAGCTTCCCTGGTCAGCAGTTGCTGGGTCAAACACAACAGTTTCCTTGACCTGGTCCCCCCTTGGTGATTTATATGAAAGACCACCGAGGTGTTGTCTGACCTCACCAGTACGTTTGCCTTGCAGGCCCGGCAGAAAGCTCTGAAGGGACAGAAATACCGCTTTCCATGCTTGTCCTGAATGCAGCATCACGTAAGAGCGTAATGATGTCAGCAGCCGCTGCTTCAGTTCAGTCTGAAGCTTGAAAGCCTCGCAGCTCCTGGAGTAAAATGTACCGAAC